CCCCCCCCCCCCCCCCCACCCCGGTTAAGTATGCTTAAGGTATTGGAGGGAGAATTATATTTGTTTCCTGCACAAGTCATCGATGTCTTTTTAACCTGAAATTAATCCCTTCGTTGGAAAAAGCTGCTTGAGCGACACCCCAATGAATGTTTTTTTAATCTGCTGCTGAATTTATGTTCCTAGTCCTTTCCTCCATCTCCTTTTTGTAAAAAGTATCGTTCCAAAGGGAACTAGTTGGCTAGACCATGGTGCTTAATAATGCCTCATAGCTCAGGTTCATTCCCCATATCAGTTGAGATAGGTATAGGGACCTACCTTGTCTCTTGCCTGTTGCGATCTGATGGTATTGAAATGTGTGGAGAGCTGTGATTACCAAACATCAGACAACAAGGATACTACATTGACAAGATTTTCCCGAAACCTGGTTTCCCGCCGGAATACAAGTCAGTGAAATTCTGGATCTATTGGTGAAAGTTGTTTGCTCAACTCATTCTATTCTCTTCGCAGTTATTGTGGAATTCATGATCCAGCCTGTGTCGTTTACTGCAACACCAGCAAGAAGTGGTTCTGTAATGGCCGTGGAAACACCTCTGGCAGGTAAGTGAGTGCTGTGATGATCAATTATGCCCTTTGAGAAATTCTTCAGGGTTAGAATGGTTCAGTTGGCCACACTCTTAACGGAGTTTGAAGTTTGTGGGATATTTCTGTATGTTGGATGTGAAACTTCAAACTGAAGCTGCACTTGCTTACTCTGATATCAAAGATCCCACATCATTGTTTGTAAAGGAGGATGCAGTTCCCAGGTGCACTTGGTAACATGCGTCTCTAAACACTCACACTCACCCCTACACCCTTGGTGCCTCCACGCCTCCACCCCACAACTACCCACGGGTGAATTTGCTTTTGCAGAGACATTCTATTTTGTTCCAAAAGCACACAATTTGCAGATAGTCAATATGGAATTTTATAAATTCCTACTTTGGAAATAAGACCAGTCTGACTCCAAGTTAAAACACAGACGAATTGTAAACAAGGCCTCACACCTCACACCTGTCTGCCCTGAGATGTCATTTCTGAAGTACTGATAAAATCTTTAGTTATCTTGGGGCACTGACTTGAAAAAAATTCTGGGATTGCATGTTAATCCGTTGAACATAAGAACATAAGAACTAGGAGCAAGAGTAGGCCATCTGGCCCCTCGAGCCTGCCCCGCCATTTAATAAGATCATGGCTGATCTTTTTGCGACTCAGCTCCACTTACCCACCCGCTCACCATAACCCTTAATTCCTTTACTGTTCAAAAATTTATCTAGCCTTGCCTTAAAAACATTCAGCGAGGTAGCTTCAACCGCTTCACTGGGCAGGGAATTCCACAGATTCACAACCTTTTGGGTGAAGAAGTTCCTCCTGACCTCAGTCCTACATCTGCTTCCCTTTATTTTGAGGCGATGCCCTCTACTCCTAGTTTCACCTGCTAGTGGAAACAACCTCCCTGCCTCCACTTTATCTATTCCCTTCATAATCTTATATGTTTCTATAAGATCTCCCCTCATTCTTCTGAATTCCAATGAGTATAATCCCAGTCTACTCAGTCTCTCCTCATAATCCAACCCTTTCAACTCTGGAATCAACCGAGTGAATCTCCTCTGCACCCTCTCCAGTGCTCGTGTATCTCTTCTCAAGTAAGGAGACCAAAACTGCACACAGTACTCCAGGTGTGGCCTCACCAGGACCCTATACAGCTGCAGTGTAGCCTCCCTGTTTTTAAACTCCATCACTCGAGCAATGGCAGACAAAATTCCATTTGCCTTTTTAATCACCTGCACCTGCAATCCCACCTTCAGCGATTCATGCACAAGGACACCCAAGTCCCTCTGCACAGCAGAATGCTGCAATTATTTACCATTTAAAACGTAGTCCATTTTGCTGTTATTTGTACCAAAATAGATGACCTCACACTTATCACCATTGTGCTCCATTTGCCAGACCTTTGCCCACTCACTTAGACTATCTATATCCCTCTGCAGACTTTGTGTCTTCTGCACACTTTGCTCTACCACTCACCTTAGTGTCATCTGCAAATTTTGACACACCACACTTAGTCCCCAACTCCAAATCATCTATGTAAATTGTAAACAATTGAGGTCCCAACACTGATCCCTGAGGCACACCACTAGCCACTGACCGCCAACCAGAAAAACACTCATTTACCCCTACTCTTTGCTTTCTACTGGTCAACCAATCCTCTATCCATGCCAATACATTACCTGTAATACCGTGCAACTTTATCTTGTGTAGCAGCCTTTGATGTGGCACCTTGTCAAATGCCTTCTGGAAATCCAGATACACCACATCCACAGGTTCCCCGTTGTCCACCGTGCAAGTAATGTGTTCAAAGAATTCCACCAAATTAGTTAAACATGACCTACCCTTCATGAACCCATGCTGGGTGTTCCCAATGGGACAATTTATATCCAGATGTCTTGCTATTTCTTCCTTAATGATAGATTCAAGCATTTTCCCCACTACCGAAGTTAAGCTAACTGGCCTATAGTTACCTGCTTTTTGTCTACTTCCTTTTTTAAACAGCGTCACATTGGCTGTTTTCCAATCTGCGGGAACCACCCCAGAGTCCAGTGAATTTTGGTAAATAATTACAAGTGCATTTGCTATTTCCCCCATCACCTCTTTTAGTACCCTGGGATGCATTTCATCAGGGCCAGGAGACTTGTCTACCTTTAGCCCCATTAGCTTGCCCAGCACTGCCTCCTTAGTGATAATGATAGTTTCTAGGTCCTCACCTGCTATAACCTTCTTGCCATTAGTTTTCGGCATGTTATCTGTGTCTTCCACTGTGAAGACCGACACAAAATAACTGTTTAATGTCTCGGCTATTTCCTCATTCCCAGTTATTAAATTGGCCTTCTCATCCTCTGAAGGACCAATGTTTACCTTCACCAGTCTTTTACGATTTACATATTTATAGAAACTTTTGCTGCCTGTTTTTATATTCTGAGCTAGTTTACTCTCATAATCTATCTTACTTTTCTTTATAACTTTTTTTGTGGCGTTCTGTTGGCCTTTAAAGATTTCCCAGTCTACTAGTTTCCCACTACTCTTTGCTTTTTTGTATGTGTTTTTTTTCAATCTGATACTTTCCTTTATTTCCTTAGACATCCATGGCTGGCTCTCTTTTCCTACAGTTCTTCCTTATCACTGGAATATACTTCTGCTGAGCACTGTGAAAAATTGTTTTGAAAGTCCTCCACTGTTCCTCAATTGACCCACCATTAAGCCTTTGCTCCCATTCTACCTTAGCTAACTCCTTCCTCATTCCTTCATAGTCTCCTTTGTTTAAGCACGGGACATAGGTACTGGATTTAACCTTCTCGTGCTCCATCTGTATTTTAAATTCGACCGTACTGTGATCGCTCCTTCCGAGAGGATCCCTAACTGTGATATCATTAATTATTCCAGTCTCATTACACAGGACTAGATCTAGGATAGTTTGCTCCCTGGTAGGCTCCATTACACATTGTTCAAGGAAATTATCGCGGATGCATTCTATGAACCCCTCCTCAAGGCTGCCATGACCGACCTGGTTTGACTAATCGATATGTAGATTAAAATCCCCCATGATAATTGCTGTATTATTTTTACATGCATTAGCTATTTCTATGTTTATTGCCCACCCCACCACGGTGTCATTATTTGGTGGCCTATAGACCACACCTATCAGTGACTTCTTCTCCCTGCTATTCCTAATTTCCACCCAAACGGATTCAATGTTTTGTTCAGTAGAACCTATATCATCTCTCACTACCGCCCTGATATCATCCTTAAAAATCAGAGCAACACCACCTCCCTTACCTTCTTGTCTGTTCCTTCTGAACAGTTTGATACCCCTAGATATTTAATTCCCAGTCATGACCAACCTGTAACGGCCACTAAATCATACCCATTTGCCATGATTTGCACCATCAACACATTGTTTCGAATGCTCCGAGCATTCAGATAAAGTGCCCTTATGCCAGTATTTGCACCTTTTTGGGTCCTATTACCTCCATTACTAACAGCTCTTGAGTTCTCCTTCCCTTTAACTTTTTTTCCTAATTTTCAATGGAGTTGAAGCTTCCTCATCACCTGCTAACCTGCTGCTTTGCCTTACGTTAATTGTTATTCTCCCTCTACGCTCACTTCTCCCAGGCATCTCCTTTCTAACTTATTTAAACAACCATCTTAGGTTTGTTCAATACATTTGCATCATCCGAAGACCCTTGATCTTTTGTTTATAAATTCTGTGCCTGATGCCACCTCTCTCACTAACACCTAAGGAGTGAGATTCCGAAAGCTTGTGTTTTCAAATAAACCTGTTGCACTATAACCTGGTGTTGTGTGACTTCTGCCCTAAACCAAAAACAGGTTATGTGGCCAGTCCGTCCACTGCTCCTTGTGGACAGATTGACTGTTTTGATTGCCCATACCTTAGTAACTGAAGTTAAATTAATAGAAATAGTGCTAGACTTGGTTTCGTGACAGCCATGATGCACTATTGAAATACTTCAACTTAAATCCGTTCTCTCATTGACATGTCAACCTCACCACACTATTGTCAGTGTTTGTTCAGCGATATGGGGATTTGGAAGTGAGTTTTCTGACCACACTGTCACCTCACTGTAAAAACTAGACTCTTCAACGTCGTATTTAACATCTTTGCATGTTGAATTTTAACATTTTAAAGGTTCTATTTATTTGTGTCCCTGCCTCTAATATTCCATTGCATTGAATAAAGAGTAAACTTAAACATATTTAACTTCATTATTTCTAACAAATAAAACTATTCATCTTCAGTTAAATTTTCATTGCGTGATAAAAGTCCTTGTATTTATATAGCGCCTTACACCAAACTTGCAGTGCTTTACACCAATTTAGTCCATTTTGTAGTGTAGTTATTGTTATAATGTGGGAAGCGAAGGCTACCAATTTGTGTAATACATGCTCCCATAAACAACAGTGATAACAAGTCCGTTCTTGTGATGTTGTATCAGGGATAAGTATTGACAAGGACATTTAGAACTAATTAAACTGGTCCTTTTTTGAAATCGTGCCATAGAATCTTTTATGCTTTTATGCTTCCCAGTCATGACCAACCTTAAATAAAGCATAGAATCTTTTAACTGAAAAAGCAAACTGCTTCAGTTTAAACTCTGGTCCAAGAAATGGCACCATCAGTAATGCATTGGAACGTCGGCCTTGATTTATGTGCCTTGGAAGGGGACTTGAACCCACATCTTGTGACTCTGAGACAAGACCAGTACCAACTGAACTGTTGCTAACTCTTTTGGATGAATTAGCAGCTCAATTTATTTATTATGTGCAGTGTTACTGAAAATGCTGGAAGGTTGTTTATTTTGACAGATTCTGAGTCAGTGAGTTATAGATTGCAGTTGCAAAAGTAGGCATAGTTGAATTAAATGTTAAAGATTCAATTTGTTTTCATTACAGTCAAAACTTCCTCTTAATGCTAGTGAAATAATGAAGTGAGAAACTAAGTTTTATTCTATACATCCTATGGCTGCAGTGTTATTGTCACGCAATGCTGCTAAACGCTGAGTAATTCGTTAAACTCTCTTTCTGTGCCAAGCTTATTATAGCAAGTATCATGTATCTTTTTAAATGTTAGTGAAATGTACCTGAAATGTCTTTTCATGTCACTCTGCCTCTGGCAGAATTCTTAAATCTTAAACTACATGAGTTGAAGATGTCTTCTCAAAGGGTATCCAGACTGATGTTTCAGTGCAGTAATGAGGAATGCTGCTCTGTCTGAGGCACTGTTACGCTGAAGAGCTACTAAATTTCCTGCCAATTCGGATGAATGTAAATAATTCTGTGACTCTCTTTGAAGATAGTTTTCCCTAGTATTCTGAACAATATTTGTCCATCAACATAATCAGAAGTGGTTTTTAACTCATTAAGACATTGCTATTTGCAGTTTGGCCTCAAAACTAAGACCATAAGAATAAAGGAGCAGAAATTAGGCCATTCAGCCCATCGAGTCTGCACTGCCATTCAATCATGGCTGATAAGTTTCTCGACCTCATTCTCCCACTTTCTCCCCGTATCCCTTGATCCCCTTGACAATCAAGAACCTATCTATCTCAGTCTTAAATATACTCAATGACCTGGCCTCCACTGCCTTCTGTGGCAGTGAATTCCATAGATTCACCACTCTCTGGCTGAAGAAGTTTCTCCTTATCTCCGTTCCAAAAGGTCTTCCCTTTACTCTAAGGCTGTGTCCTCAAATCCTAGTCTTTCATACCAATGGAAACATCTTCCCTACATCCACTCTATCCAGACCAATCGGTATTCTGTAAGTTTCAATTAGATCTCCCTTCATCCTTCTAAACTCCAAGTATAGACCCAGAGTCCTCAAATGTTCCTCATATGTTAAACTTTTCATTTCTGGGACCATTTTCATTAACCTCCTCTGAACCTGCTCCAGGGCCAGTACATCTTTCCTGAGATATGGGGCCCGGAACTATGCACAATACTCCAAATGTGGCCTGACCAGAGCCTTTTATAGCCTCAGAAGTGCATCCCTGCTTTTATATTCCAAGTCTTCTCAAAATAAATGCTAAAGTTGCATTTGCCTTCCTAACTACTGACTTAACTTGCAATGCTACCAGCCCTTGAGAGAATCCTGGGCTCCATCTCCCAAGTCTGTCTGCACTTCAGACTTCTGAATTTTCTCCCAATTTAGAAAATAATCCATCCCTCTCTTCTTACCAAAGTGCATGACCTCACACTTTCCCATGTTGTACTCCATCTGCCACTTCTTTGCCCACTTTCCTAACCTGTCCAAATCCTTCCGCAGCCTCCCTGCATCCTCGCTACTTCCTGTCCCTCTACGTATCTTTGTATTGTCTGCAAACTTAGCCAGAATGCGCTTAGTTCCTTCATCTGGATCATTAATCTATAAAGTGAAAAGTTGTGGTCCCAACACTGACCCTTATGGCACACCACTTGTCACCGGCTGCCATCCTAAGAAAGACCCTTTTAATCCTCCTTGCTGTCTTGCACAAAGCAATCTTCTTCCCATGCTAGCACCTTGCCTCTTAACACTATGGGCCCTTATCTTACTCAGCAGCCTCCTGTGCAGCACCTTTATCAAAGGCCTTCTTGACATCCAGATAGATAACATCCATTGGCTGTCCTTGGTCTAACCTGCTCGCTACTTCCTCAAAGAATTCTAACAGATTTGTCAGGCATGACCTCCCCTTGATGAAGCCATGCTGACTTTTCCCTGTTTTACCATGCACTTCCAAGTACTCAAAAATATCATCCTTCACAATGGGTTGTCAAATCTTACCCACGACCGAGGTTAGGCTAACTGGCCTGTAGTTTTCAGTCTTTTGCCTTACTCCCTTCTTAAACAGGGGTGTCACGTTCGTGATTTTCCAGTCCTCTGGCACTCTCCCTGACTCTAATGATTCCTGAAAGACCACCACTAACGCCTTCACTATCTCTTCAGATATCTCCTTAAGAACTCTAGGGTGTAGTCCATCTGGTCCTGGTGATTTATCCACCTTCAGGCCATTCAGTTTTTCAGCACCTTCTCCTTGGTCATGGCCACCATACTCAGCTCAGTCCCCTGACTCTCTTGAATTTTTGGGATATTACTCGTGTCTTCCACCGTGAAGACTGACGCAAAATAAATATTCAGTTCCTCAGCCAGCTCCTTGCTCCCCACTACTATCTCCATCATTTTCCAGCTGTCCAATGTCCACTTTTGCCTCTCTTTTGCCCTTTATATTCTAATGAAACTCTTACAGTCCTACTTTATATTACTGGCTAGCTTATCCTCATATTTAATCTTCTCCCTCTATTTCTTTTTTGTTGTCCTCTTGTTGGTCTTCATAGCTATCAAGTATTTCAGAAGTCTTTAGGGATGCTCTGAGACATGAAAGACATGATATTTGTTCAAATTAATTTCCTTTGTCCAGGTGAAGCACCAGAATTAGCCTTTTTAACTGTCAGCTGGGTGAGGGCTCATCTTTGATTTTCAAGTAGCCTCGATTTCCTTTGGTTTGATCTTGCAGCCATATTGTAAATCACCTGGTGAGAGCCAAGTGCAAGGAAGTGACTCTTCACAAAGATGGGCCATTGGGAGAGACGGTCCTGGAGTGTTACAATTGTGGTTGCAGGAATGTGTTCCTCCTGGGTTTCATCCCTGCCAAGGCTGACTCTGTGGTGGTGCTGCTGTGCAGGTGAGTGAATTTGGTCTGAAGCTGCAAAGACTTATGGCTAAACTACAGAGATGGAGGAAGATTAAGAGAGAGAGATTAGTTAGGGATGACATTGGAAGATCATCTTAGAGCTGATATTAACACATTTTAATTTTTTAAAGGAGAAATATGCAATTACCTAATAAAATTGAGGTATGAAACCTCCTTGTCAGGATGATCATATCAACTGTCAAAATAGTACAGAGAAAAAATATGCTAAATGTAGTAGGAAAATGTGTAATGTTAGAGGACTGGTGTATACCTAATCTATATTCAAGAGAGAATGTGCCCAGAGAAAGATATGCCACACAGTTTTGTATTGGTGGTGGAAAAAGTAATGAAATCACTTCTAAAGTTTAATTTGGAAAAGGGGCACGTGTTAGAAGCCAAAAATGCAATTTGTACTTGCCATGGATTTCAAAAGGGACAGTATTGCTTAACCAACCTTATTGGATGAGATAATAGAGAAGAGAAGGGTAATTTTTTTCAGCATTTCCAAAATGTTTAGGTTACCACATAATAGATTAATGAAAGTGAAGATAGATGAAGTTAGGGATTGAGTAGTAAAATGCATTACTAATTGGCTAATGAGACAGAATGTAGAAAGTAAGGTGTATTTCGTACCAGAAAGTTAGAGGGTATCCAAAAGGATCAGTGCTGAGCCATTGTTAATAAAGAAAACAATTTCTAAATAGAGGGTAATGGTTAATACTGAGGAGGAATGCAATAAATTTCAAGAAGGCATGAATAGACTTGGCAAATAGGGATTAGCGAATGTGTTTCAATACTGAAGGTATTTCAAAAGCAAAATTCAGATGCTAGAAATATGCAGCAGGGCTAGTAACATCTGTGCATCTGTGAAGGGAATAAAGATAACACTTCAGATTGATGCTATTTTAATCAGATCTAAATCAGTTAAAAATTTACTTGGTTTTTAAAAAAAATTCCCAGCTAGGAAAAGGGGAAGAGAACTAAAAGAAAGGTTGTAAAGGGGAAGAGAGATGAAATGACGAAGAGGGGCGAGAATGAAAGGCGATGAGATCGTAATTAGACAAGTACAGAAACAAAATATGCTTCCAAGGAATGAGGAAATGGGGGAAAATAAAATCTCTAGCTGTTCAAAACAAAACAAATAATGGGAGAGAGATTCTGAAGAAGGGTCCAGACCCGGAACGTCAGCTTTCCTGCTCCTCTGATGCTGCTTGGCCTGCTGTGTTCATCCAGTTCTACACCTTGTTATCTTAAAACAAATAATGGGATAGATGTTATGATGCAAAATTGTTCAACTTGAATCTGGAAGACCTGTCAAGTCTCTCGTTGATAGATGCCCATGTTGAGCTCCAGTGAAATAGTGTAAGAGGCTGAGGACATAAGTGGGAGTGGGACAGAGGATTAAGATGATAGGCTGCCAGGGCTCAGGGTAAAAGTTGCAGACTGAAAAGAGGTATTTCGTAAAACAGTTACACAAGCTGTTTGATCTTCCCAGCAGAAACTGTACTGTATGTAATGATTGCAGTATGTTAATACTAAATTGCTGTTTCACCTGGCCTCTTCTGCCCTGCCATCCAGCTATGGCTGCAAGTCAGTTGTACAATCCACATCTCCAGAATTAAAATCTTTCTACTGTCAGTTCTTTTTGTCAAATATGTACATTTCTGTGGCTAGGTTATGGAAGCTTGTTAGTGGAGGGGAGGAGATACATGCAAAGCAAATTTCCTCATCTTTGGAAATACACCGAAATATAATTTTCCAACGCAGGATGCAAATCCTTTATTCTCCATTTGCAAACAATGAAATTTGAGTGAATTAAGAGACAAACACCCTGTTTTAGATTTTGTTTTTTAATCAATACATGTCTGGAACAGGTGGCACTTGAATCCAAACATTCTGGTCAAGTAGGGATGCTATCACTGCTCCAGAAGAGCACCTACAACCATTGTAATACAGTTGGCTCAAGCAACATTTGATACTGTGGTTACTCAAACTCACTATCTCATCAAACATTAATGTTGTATTGTTCTTGGGAAATAGAGTTCCTCTTAACCCCATTTGTGCAAGAGGAACTAATGGAACAATAGGTGAAACATATACTGTCAACTTAGAATTTGAGCAGTCAGTGAGTGGCAAGCCTATCAAAGCAGTAAAACCAACAACAGTGTTAGTTTAATGTTAGAGCAATAAATTTAAATTTTGGCCACTATGAAAATCTGCTTTGATTTAATTCAACCCACTTCTATTGAGACCTATAATGTGACTCTCCTTGCTCTGTGCCTTTTAATTTTCTCCCACAGACAGCCATGTGCCAGTCAGAGCAGCCTGAAAGATATCAACTGGGATAGCTCTCAGTGGCAACCACTAATCCAGGACCGTTGCTTTCTGTCTTGGTTGGTAAAGATACCTTCAGAGCAGGAGCAACTGCGAGCCCGACAGATCACAGCACAACAG